TCCAGCAAAGCACGGCTTGGAGCACTCAGAGGGTCCCAGAACCCCTCGCAGACCTGCACAAAGAGTGCCCCCAGAACAGGGGCCAGGCCAGCAGAGCCTGGGGAAACCTAACCCCAAATCCCCAGGGGATCCGGCCTCACCGAAAGGAGCAGGAACCGTCCCTGCAAGCCCTTCTCCCATCGCAGCTGGCGGAGCAGAGGTGGCAGCGCCTCTTGCTCACCCTCCTGTGAAACCTCTGCCTCTGTGGGAACAACCTCCTGCCACCTCCTCCTTTTCTGGGCCCCAGAGGCCCAAAACACACAGCAGCAGCGTGCTGCTTCAGCACTTTGCGAGGGAAAGGCAGCAGGACCGCAGGCTGCTCCCACCCCCGCTTCTGGAGCAGAGAGGCACGTGTGGAAGTGTAAAACCCCAAGGCTCGGGCACTGCACTCACTGCTACGGGGTGCTGGGGCCGGCCGTGGGGTGAGGGCTCACCCAGCTCCCTGCCTGCACGGCCCCGAGCAGCCCCGCCGTGGAAGAGCTGCTGCCCCTTGTCCTGCTGCTACCTGCACCTCTGCGAGGCCTTCTGCTGGCACAGCTACAGCGGAGGGGAGAGCAATTCCTTTGCATTTGTAGACAGCCAACTAAGCCTGCAAAACTTCTCAAAGGTATCCCCAGCCTCTGCTTCAGAAAGCAAAAAGCGCTACCCTGAAATCACCCCTAAGCTAACAGAGCTATGTCCGCAGCAAGGACTTTTATTACTGTTACTACTTCAGCAAAGAAAAAGAAACATCCTCCTTTGCAGCCAGCAGAATCACTCTGGAAGGGCTCTGCCACAGTACAAACCAGGCCTTTGATTCTGCCCTGACCTGACAAACTGTTCTTCAGACGCTTCCTTCAGTCACGTTGGCTCAGCCACACCAGCTTAGCCTCAAACGAGCCCTTCAGTTGTTTTCTTAAAACTTCACAAGTCGCATTCGCCCGATCTGTTGTCATTTAAAGTTTGTGCACATGGAAGGAAAGGACGGGCCCCAAGCAGCCCCTGTCAGCTGTCAGCTGGCTCAGCACAGCCCAGGTACAGCCCGGAGAGCTCCTGCTGGGGAAGGAGATGTTAGCACCTATTTGGGGCCGTAACATTTTGTCAGACCCCAAGGCAGGGCACAATTTTAACATATTAGCAAAGTAACCCTCACTTCAAAGCCTCTAAAGCGGTTACAAACTTTCCTGCCCTTACCAGATGGCACAAGCAGGGCAGGAACCCCTCTCCTCACACAAATTGCTGCTAAAATGTTGCACAGTGTGTTAAAGCTGACCCAACCCAAACCCACATTTAACCTGTGGGGGGGTCTCACATCAACACCGTCTCATCACACCCCGCTGCCCCAAGGCAGGGAACTTCAGCCCCGCAGCCACAAGGCAGGCCGGCTCCCAGGCAGCTCACAAAGGAGAAAAAGAGGACGGGGTTTAAAATGCACCGAGGTTTCCTGAGGCAGCTCGCTGACACAGGCTCCGTGCTGGAGGCAGCGGCCCTGGGAAAGCAGAGCAGAGCCCTCTCCTCGCCTGTGACACCAGCTGGCAGGAGTAAATGAGAGAGGAGGAAGGGCAGGGCAGGCCTGAAAGGAGCCCTGGACTTTGCGTCACCTGCAAAACAGAAAGCGGGAAACCGAAGAAAATCGTCTGCGCGCTGACTGCTCAAAGGCACTGCTCATTAGGTCCTGGCTTCTCCTATTATCACTCCTGCACTCGGTGGCCTATTACAGCAACCTCCTTCCAGCCAGGGACCCATGAATAGGAAGCTCTTTGACATGAGTGAATGTTGCCCCTTAATCCAGTAGGGAGTTCATTGCACAGGCGGAGGACTGCCTACAGCGTGCTCCCAGCACCAGCTGGCTAAGGGGATGAGAGCAAGGATCAAAGCCGGGGCGAAGCCGCAGCATCGCGAGCCTGATTTTCAAAACCGCTCGGGCTGGCGAGCCCTCGCCTTCAAAACGTGGGGAGCGGCCAGGTGCTGAACTCACCGAGGATCCGCTCTCAGCTCAGGGTGCTGAACAGTGGGGAAATCTGTCCTCTATGTGGCTTGCACGCCGTCTCTTCGCTTTAAAGATCAAAGCTGCATCTCCAGAAAAAAAAAGATGTTACAGATCTGAACAGGAAAAAAAAATGATGAAAAATGCAGTGTAACTTCTGAGGAGAACCACTTCATTCAAAGCCACACGCACACCTTGCTTCCTGCTCAGCATGCAGGCACCAGCCTTCCTGAGGTGAGCATGAGCCTGAGGAAAAACATCGTGGCTTGAAATCTGTGTTTTCAAGCTCACACCGAATGATCGTTTCGGGAAACACACAGGCAGATGATTCTCTTTACACCAGAACTGATGGGAACTGGAGTAGCAGCGTCAAACTCGGTGAACTTCTGCTATCCTAAAACTTGCTGAGCGAGGTAAACTCAGTCCCTCAAACTTGAATTTTAGCCCTGCATTCACAGTAGGTCTAAAACACGTAAAAGCACCAGAGCAGACGGGATACGAGGGACCTGCCAAAGGAAGCCAGCAGCACAACCCGTCTCTGCAGCGGGGCGCTCAGTGACTGCAGCTCAGCCGCGAGGCGGCCAGAAGGCACCACCACCGTGGCTCCCCTCTGAGAGCAGGTGAAGCCTTGGTGCTTGCACAGCTTCTCCCTCATGCACCAGCCTCACAGTTTGGCCAGGAGCTGCTCTGTCCCGCAAGGTTTTATCTTCAGCCCACGGGCTGCCGGAGCTCTTCCTGCAGAGGCTGGCGTGGGAGCTCGCTGCAGGCACACGGTGGGGCCTTTCCAGCCCCCCAGAGCCCCCCAGCTCCAGGCTCACGCCTTCCCCCAGGACTGCACCGCTGTGCCCCTTGCTACCGAGTCAAACAGCCCCTCGCTTCTGCTCCGTCTCACACTGCAGCCGTGGGATGCCAGCCCTTGTGCAGAGCACCCAGTGCAGGCTCCACATCCCAGCTGCATTTACAGCCCCCAGCTTCCACCCTCTGGCCTCAGAGGGGTACAAGCAAAGCCAGAGCTGGCCCCAGATTTAACTCAGCGTAAGGGGGAGGGGAGGAATTAAACTCCAAAGTAGTCACCGTTCCCTCCCTGTAATCCACGGCAACATCTGTGGGTATTAAGCCCGGCCCTAAGAGCAACGCTTCCTAACGCTCCCCACAGGGCAGGCCCAGGTGGGACTGCTGGGAGAAGCCCCCTAACAGGAGCTGTGTGGCTGCGTTTCACGGCCAAACCTGGGCACGAGGAGCTGCGGAGCTGCGGGCTGTGCATCGCCCTGCAACAGCTGAAGGGAGCTGAAGGCAACACCAGGCCATGGAGCCAGGGGACCACCTGTGGGCTTGTTATTTCACCACAGCACCCGGCCGTTGGCACAGCCCAAAGCCAGGCAGCGGGAGCAGGCCCTGCGGTGTGGATGTGACGGAACAGGGAGCAGAAGGAGACAAGGCTCGGACAGCACTCAGACACGGGGAACCTTGCTGCTCTATGGGTCACACAGCGTCCCCATAGCAGCCCCAGCACAGGCCCTTTGGGCACGGTGTGTGGTGACCCCCCCCCCACCATCACCCCCTGACCCTGTCCCCGGGCACCACGTCCCAGGACACCCCCAGGAGCACCAGGGCCCCCCTGGCGGCCCCCTCCCGGTGCCCTGCCCGCTCTGTGGGAGCAGAGGCGTCTCCGTGCTCCCACCCTGAGGCCGATTTCTGTTGGGACAGGGCCGGGGCCGGGCGGGGGCAGCCGGGGGGTGGCCGTGCCCGTGTCACCGACACGTGGCCGTGCCCGCTGAGGCAGCCCCGGGGCTTTGTGCGAGCGGCCCCGCTCAGCCCCTACAGCCCCACACAGCCCCCAGCCCCCCCCCCATAGCAGGGCTGCCCCCGGCCCCCCCGGCCCCGCCGCTGCCGCCCGCCCCGAGGCCGCGCCGGGGCCCCGGACCCTGCATGGCAGCGGCTGCCCCCGCCCCGCTCGGCCCCGGGCCCTGCATGGCGCTGGGCAGCAGCAGCGAGCGCCCCGCCGGGCCCCGGACCCTGAATGGCGCCGCCCCGAGCCCCGCCGCTTGTATGGAAGGGGGGGGGGAGGCCCCGGAACCTGGATAACGCCGGAGCCGCTCCCCGCAGCCGCCTGTATGTGAGGGGGGGGGGGGAACCCCGGACCCTGCATGGCGCATACCACCGGCCGGGCCGCGGAGGGGTGTGACTTATACAGAGTCCCGGGCCCCCCCCGCACACAATGGCAGCGGCGCCCCCATTCTTCCCCCCGCAGGGGCCGGACCCAACCACGGCGCGGCGGGGGCACGGCCCCCTCCCGGCCCGCGGCACCAAGCGGCCGGCACCGGGCCGTACCACTGCGCCCCCCCCCCCCCCCACCCCCCTCACCACCACCCAGCCCCGGCCGCCTTCCCTTCACACCCCCCCCCCCCCCCCCGCCCGGCAGATGGACGCCGCCGCCCGCACTCACCTCGGCATCCGCTGTGGCCATGGCCGGAGCCCCGGAGCGTAGCCCCGCCCCCGCGCCCCGGCTCCGCCCCTCTCCCCTCGTTCTTCTCAATGGAGGCGCTCCGTGCGCAGGGCGCATGCGCGGCGCATCATGGCGGCCCCCAGCGTGGAGGTTTTGCCGTACGGCAACATGGCGGCGCCCATAGGGAGGGGGCCGTACGGAGAGTAATGGGGGTGGGATGGGGGGGAGTAATGGGGACAGGATGGGGACAAGATGGGACAGGGAGAGGATGGGGACAGGGACAGCAACAGGGTGGGGATGGGGGGAGGGGGACAGGACGGAGGGAGAGCAATTGGGGTGAGATGGGGACAGGATGGGATGGGGACAGGATGGGGACACAGGAATGGGGTAGGATGGGGACAGAATGGGACAGGGACAGGAACGGGAGTGGGGTGGGGATGTGGGAGAGGGGGGCAGGATGGGGGGGCGGCAATTGGGGTGAAATGGGGGCAGGATGGGATGGGGACAGGATGGGGACACGGGCAGGAACGGGGGTAGGATGGGGACAGGGTGGGATGGGGACAGGGACAGGAACGGGGGGGGTGAGGTGGGGATGGGATGGGGACAGAACAGGACAGGGACAGGGACGGGGATGCTGATCTCAACCACCAGGTGCTGGCACCGTCTGGTGGGCACAGACAGGAGGGGAGCTACGCGGCCGCCCCACAGGTGCCGTGTCCAAGGCGGGGGCTCCAGCGCTGCCAGCGGGTCCCCAGCACACCCTGACCCCCACGGGGGCACGCGGGGACACCTCTCACCCTCACTCTCGTGAAGATAACGGCCCAGGTGGGAACAGAGCGCTCAGCACGGGGGGGGGGGACTTGGGGACACAGCGACAAACCCTGGGCAGCACAGGGGGGGCTGAGCATTACCCAGCTGGGTGCCGAGCACTGCCCTCGTTTAGCCGCTAATTCGCGATTCCCAGAGCCAGACACCGCCATCACCCCCGGGGAGCGGCTCCCTGGGCACCGTGTCCCTTCCCGGGGTGGCGGGGGTGGCCGTGTCCCCGTGGCCCTGTCCCCTCACGGCCACGGCCCCCCCAATGCCTCACACCGGGGCCCAGCCCCCGAGCTCCGCCCGGTGCCGGCCGCTGCTGCCCCCGCCCGGCCGCGAGGCGCCTGCAGCGAGGGGGGCGGCGGGGGGAGCCCGGCCCGGGGCTGGGGAGGGGGCCCCGAGCCCCTGAGGTGCGAGCGGGGCCCCCAAAGGCCCGGCACAATCCCACCCCCACCCCTCAGGAACGGCAGACGCGGCCTTACAAAAGGAGAACTTTTATTTATGTTTTCTGCCCTTTACATTCGGTGGTTAAAAACCCCGGAACAAAAATGGTTTTGACAAAAACCGAGAGCTGTGAGGAGAGCCCCGAGAGCCGGGAACCACAGCCACTGGTGCCGGACAAGGACGGGTGCCCGTGTTCAGCGTTCGACCCCACATGGTCCCTCCAGGGAGGAGGGATGGGACGTGGTCCTGTTGCACACAGCTGGAAATGTATCAAAATACAGAATTTCTGTCTATTTGTATTTCTGTATATTAAAACACAGGATTAAAAACCAAACAGCCCCAGAGCACCCCTCATCTTGTGTCTGAGAAAACTTCCTTCCCCAGGCACAAGCAGAAAAGATTTTTACAAAACTCCCGAAAGTTCAGCGGAAAGCTAAAAAAGAAGCCAACGTCCACCAAAAAGAACTGGAGGAGGTGTCGAGGCGAAGCCCTTGTGGCCCTCCCAGCGCTGCAGGCCCACCCGGCTCCCTGGTGCACCCCGTGAATCGCAGCCCCGGCAGGACGGGAGCCGGCCGAGAGGCTGCAGACAAAGGGAGGCAGCGGAGCTGCAGCGTGCTGGGGGAAGCGCCCGCAGCCAGCCCACAGCTTGATGAAGATGGATGGGAGCAGGGCAGAGGCTGCGGCCTCCCCCCGGCCCCACGGCACGCAGGTGGGGAAGCAGCAGCAGGTGCCAAAGCGGAGCTTGGTGGGACACAAGCAGCGAGGAGGAAGCCGCAGCTATGGAGGCTGCACGTGTGGAGAGCGGGACAAGGACAAAGACATGCCGGACAAAAAAGCAGCAGCAGTAGAAAGGGGGTGATGATATTTTTGGTATTTTCCATTGAATGCTGAGTTTGGAAACAATTGTCTCACCAGCTTTGCTCACACCCCACCATTTCCCCTCCCCATTTTGAACAAGGCGAACAAACAATTGCTTTAAAAATTGAGCCAGGAATTTAAATGAATTCCTACATACTAACGTTTCCTACCCAGAGCTGGGTTCAGAAGCCAGGTTTTTTTGATCTTTATTGTAGAAAAAAAGAAATTCCCAACTCCTCTTCAGAAAGAAAGAGGAGTCAGGAATGAGGGGCCTACAGGAGCTCCCCACGACTTGAAGAGGTTGAAACCAGAGAGGCTGCAGAGGAGAGGCAGCAGCGAGGCAGAGGACAGGAGGGACGGAGCTCTCACCCCTTCCAGAGGGGTGCGTACACCCGGCCATTGCTTTTCTGCCTCATGGTGCTCAAAGTACTCAGACCCTAAGGATCTCTGCTGCCACAGCACCCTGGGGTCACAACTGCGGGTAGCTTTAGGAGGAGGAGGACTCTTCCTCCTGCAGTCCTGAACCATTTCTAAGAGGTCCATGAAACACAAACAAGGCTCTTTGCATCAATCTTCAACCCCCGCCACAGGGCTGGGATGGGAATGTTGGAAACCACAGCGCTTTGCCAATAATTTCTGTGCATTTGCACAAGAGCACGGCTCTCACAACATCAGGGTGCCACCCTAGGGTGCCACCCTCCTGCGGCCCAGCCAGAGATGCCTCACAGGACTTGGTAGTTTCTCCCTACAGGAGCTGCACGTGCTCAGCCCTAGCACCCAGAAGCAGCAGCAGCCCCCAGGGCCTTGCCCGACTCCATCCTGTGCCCTCCAAGCCCTCAGGAACCCCTCCCCGGGGCAGCGTGCCGCCTGCTCCTTGCTTTGCAAAGGGGCCACCACAGAGAGCTAGAGGCACTGAAGGAGCAGCCAGCTGCTGGCAAATATAAGTTAGGTGAGCCAGCTTGGCAGCCAGGCTCGAGGCCCTGCCCATCAGGAACGTTTCTCATGCCAGGCACAGACCACCAGGCAAAGGGGACAGTCCTAAGTAATAAAAGCTGGGCAGAAGCCTGGGTTGAGCAGGGGCCGAACAAGGAGCCTTGTGTATGAGACAGGTCGTGCCTCAGGCTGCTGGCAGGGACAACATCTAGACAACACCTACATGCTTCAGACATGGTATCACCAAGCTCCGTGGGGGTGGGGAGGAGCCTTCCTTTCCGTTTTGAGTAAGATTCTTCCCAATGACTGTTCAGGAGAGGGCACAGGCTGGCAGTGTCCAGCCCTAGCAGCCGGACCTCGGCTGTTCCACCTCCATCCTCCTGAAGGATGAGCCCCCTCTCCCCTTCCTCCCCAGCACTCCACCTCCTCCTGACCTGAACTCTGCTGAGTAAGAGCCATGGACCAGCTCGGCAAGCTGCAGCTTCAGGGCACGGTGCTGGGGAACTTCACGCTGCTGCAGGGCAGTGGGGGCTCGCTCCAGAGCTGAGCCCACGCGGAGCCAAGCCCCCTCTGCCTGCTGGAGCCGGGTGCGCAGCACAGCACCCAGGCTGTTTTCCCAGAGCTGCCTTGGCAGAAGTCACCACCTGCCCGGTGAGAGCAAAAAGCTTGCTTCATTTTGTAAGAAATCAGCAAGGTGCATTCCTGGATTTGGCATGAACAGGCAGATGGGTAAGCATCAGAAATGGATGAAAGAGCACAGCAGTTCTCTTCGAATAATTTATTAAATACAGCATTAAAATTTGTGTTTATGAATTCAATCATTAAAAACAAAACTTTATCTCATATATATATATATTTAGGGACAATGACAATCATTCTTTCAACATTGGTGCATGTTGTGCCAGCACTGCTCAGAACGGCACCTTCTCTACACTATCCTTAAAGCAGTTCAACACTTTTAAAATAAAATAAAACGAAATAAAAAGCATTTGCAAAGGAAGAGTGCAAAGCAGGGCTTGTCCCCAGCTGCCTGCCAGGGCTGTGAGGAGGCAGAGGCTGTGGCTCTCACAGCGGGTTTGTTAGATATTGCCTGCCCAGCACGAGGAAGCGTGGGGACCAATTCTCAGAGGTGCCAAAGGTGCAGTCTGCAATTTCAGCCTTGGCTGGATGCCTACAGCTCTGAGCTGAGTATCTGGTTTGTGGTTTCCTCAGCTTGGGCAGTCAATACTAAAAAGCTAGACAACAACGGGGAAAAAAAAAAAAAAGCACAAAAGAAAAAATGTTGTTTTCAGTACACCAGCTTCTTCCCCTGACCTGCCAGGTCCAGCAGAGGCTGCAAATGAAGCGTAGCAGTCGGTGTTCCCACTCACTCGTTTTTGCATCCTGCTGTGGCTCAAGGTGGCTCAGGAGGCGAGCAGCAAACCAGTACCAGCCCGCAGAGAGCGCCGTCCCCAGGCCACGTGCAGCGGTGTGGCACCACGGACAGAGAGGCTGCAGGCTGAGCCTTGAGGGAGGCTGATCCCAGAAGGCAGGGCTTCCACGGATGGGGTCCTCGGGCAGACGCAGAGGTAGCATCAGACAGACTTCTGTAACTTGATTGTCGTGTAATTCTGGCCTGCCTAAGGCAGCAGCAGCAGGGATGGAGAGGGAATCCTGCAGGAGCAGGAGATGGGACGTGGGACCTGACTGGTACTGGTCATCCTCGCAGCAAGCAAGGACGGTCTGTCTCCTGCAGGGCTTCTGAGAAATTACCCTTGCTGAAAAGGCTCCCCGCTGCCAGGGGCTGTTCTCCACTCACTGCTAGCAGGCAGCGGTCCAGCCCCACCGCCAGGGGACCAAAGGCTGCCGGTCACTCACCCCACCACACTGGTACAGCGAGGGCTTGTGCTTCTGGCTCTGTAACAGTCCCTGGCCTTCCAAACCTGCTTACTCCAAGAAACCTGTTTCAGCTACACTTGAGACCCACGAGGACAGGGAGGGAGGGCTGCCTAAAGCATTTCCGGAGAGCACGTGGCCCACGAAAGAAAGTTCACACAGCCCTGCCTGCAACCTACAGTGGAGACATGCCAAGTCAGGAGCATTTCAGATAAGGCATCGCAGGTGCTTTGATAGTAAAGCAGTTAGTGTTGACTACAGTACTTGAAACACAGGCTGCTGCAGAGGGCATCCCTGGGGCAAAAGCACTTCTCCAGCACCTGACGCAGCAGGAGACGGTTCAGACCTCTCCTACACAAGCACACACACACACACGGGCTGCTCTGGCTGCCCTTTTGTTTGTTTTTTCCCCTCCCAAGAAAGTGACTCAAAAAGCCCAGGCTGGGATGTGCCATTTACCCTGCCAAGCAGCCACAGAGATAAAAAAGACGCCTTGTGCTGTACCAGACTTTGCAGTAGGCCGGTGAACCATCGCGCCAGCGGGACGCGAAGCAGGGGAGGCTAGTTGCCGTTGCTGATGCTGGAGTTGGCACTGCTGCAGCTCTGCTCGTAGGATGGAGGCGCCTCTGCAGGGGAAAGACAGAGTAAGAGTGGTTATGGTGGGAGTTTGGGAGGCTCCCTGCACCCCGCTCTGTGTAACTCAGTGCTGAGCAAAGCAAGCTGCTGACACATGCACGCAAGCAATCTCTCCAGGACCCCACAGCCTGCCCCACGAGTGACACATCCGAGCGTCTCTTGTTAGCCCAGCGCTAAGACAGGTTTCTTTGGCCAGGACCATGCCACACCGCTGTTCTCTGCCACCTCAGGCAAGCACCACTCGAGGAATGCAGCGCGCTGGGATTTCCCCAAGCTTTTCTGTCCTGGACAGTCTCTCAGTGCCCGCCCCCACAGCTTCTGTCTCCAGACCAGATGCAGGCCCACTCCAAGGCAGACATAAGATTTCAGTTACATCACTTTCCTGGCTCTGCTCCTGCCAGCCTCGCCACAAGCCAAGAAGTTTTTATATCTGTGGGAGGCTGAAAGCTCATTTCAGAACAGGGAGATCCTCTCACGCTGAGCCTAGGGCAGCACGAGCGTAGACGTGGGAACGGACAGCTGGCTGTCACAGCCATGGGAGGGGACGCCTCTGGAGAAGGCAGGCAGAGAGATCTCACGATCCCCTCTGAGTTCAGCCCCACTGGGCTGACATTCCCATGCTCCAACCTCTTCAGCTAGCAAAGAGACTCTCGTCACAGCAGACATTTGCTATCGCACCACCAGCCTGTTCAGGCCCCAGGAGCAGGATGCTCACCGTACGGGTAGCCCCACGTGCTGTACTCTGGAGGCAAAATGAGAGAGCTGGCAGTGGGCACAGGCACCACGTTTCCCTCGGCGTAGTAAGGGACGGTGGCTCCCGTCGAGAGGCAGAGCGTGGGGTGGTTCGGGGAGCCCGTCTGCTCAGAGTCCGCTTCCTGGAAGCTCAGTCCTGGGGCGTAGCTGAACGGCTGCTGCTGGGAATGGCTTTTGGTGGGGATCAAGACATTGTCCATGGGGTGATAGCCGCTGGCAGCCTCCTCCTCCTCCGGGGGGGCGCTGGGGACCACTGCGGATGGTAGGTGCTGCACGGATCGGGAGGGGCTCAGAGGGACCCTGTTCACTGCGATGTTACCGATATAGATGGGAAGGGTGACTGAAACCTCTGGTGACTTGAGGGAAACCTGGAAAAGAAGGAAAAACAGTGGCATCCTCTGTTGTACATTGCACAGAGCACAGCCAGCCTCACCTGACACAAGCCCCCCCGACACACACACATCTGCTGAGCTCAAGCAGCCGAGCTTGATGCAGAAGGGAGCACAGTAACACAAGGACAGCCTCACCCATAGCAAAACGAGTCACACCAAGTTCCTCAGCAGAGCTGCATCTCTCCTGACACGCACAGGGTCCCCCCCAGCCCAAGAACTTATTTACTGAAAGGGTTGTGAGGCATTGGGATGGGCTGCCCTGGGAAGTGGCTGAGTCACCATCCCTGGAGGTCTTTAAAAGATGTTTAGATGTAGAGCTTAGGGATATGGTTTAGTGGAGGACTGGTTAGTGTTAGGTCTGAGGTTGGACTTGGTGATCTTGGAGGTCTCTTCCAACCTAGATGATTCTGTGATCCTGCCAGAGCATCAGGGTGCTCACCTGGATGTAGTAGTCGATGTGTATGAGGCTACAGCCCTGCAAAATGGACTGGGGCAGTGCTGGGACGAGGATCTGCTCCTTCCATTCTGCGTGTTTCCAGGCTTTCACTCCTGAGCCTTCCACCTCCGCGATGGTCCTCAGGTCGTAAATCCAGCGCTTGGATTTGTAAGCCACTTTCTGCACAGACAGAATTAAACACAGCTAGCAGGAGGACTGCAGATGTTCTTCTGTCTCCCACAAGTGCAAGGCAGGACACAAAACCAGCCAGCTGCTTTGTCAAATCAGCAGGAGTACAAACCTAACGTGCATGTCACAGGGCAGGATAACCCACTGTTACACAGTGGGCTGAGCTGGTATAAGCACATGTTCTACCACCTCCTTCCCCAGGAAGAGGGAGAGAAACAAAGTTAACCAGAGGGCTGCACTCCTCACTGCCACCTCTCAGCTACATGCAAAGAGATGTGCACTGTGGTGAGACCTGCACCAGCCTCACAGCAGCCTCAGGGAGGTGGAGTGCAGCCCAGCTGAGGGATCGTCCTTTCAGCTTACCTGGAGCAGGCTGGCCACCACAGCCCCGGTGTCCCGGCCCGATTTGTTCTCGATGTCTGTGCGGAGCTGGATCACCTGCCCCACAATGTACCCTTTCAGATCGGAGGTGGCGGTCAGGATAACGTTGCCACTTTTCACAAGCTTGTAGCTGAACTTCTTGGTGACCTGACATCGTGTTGGGCTGCTGCAGAATGACAGAGACAGAGATGATGACCCAAGGGAGTCAGAGCACCTCCAGGAAAATGCTCGGATTCAAAACAAGCAAGCAGAAATACTAGTCTAAGAGGCCACGAAGAACCACTAACACAGCACTGCCACAGACAACAGGTCTCACTCCTCCATCCCCCCAGTTGTGCTGTCCCCTATCAGCGTCTCTTCCCTTCGGAAAAAGTTCCCCAAACCCAGGTCTCTACAAGTAGGTACTGGTCCTAAAATGCTCATGGCAGACATCTCACTCAGCATGCTGAAAATTCACCTACGTCATCCAAAGTAATGTGTGGAGGAGCCAGAAATCACAGAGAGCAGGGACAGAAAGCAAGACAGGATAAATCAGGAGCAGAAGCCCTCATCCTGCTCTTGCACAGCAGGACGTGCAGTCAGAGAGGTGCCCAACCACACAGTTATTCCCACACTTCACACAGTGGCAGGGACGAGCACTGAAGCCTTGCTCTTACCTCAATATCAGGGATGTCATTCAAGTTGAGAGGGCAGAGGACATAGAAGATCTTGTTGCACTTGTAGTCCTTGGAGAAGCGCGGTGTGTCTATCACAGCTTTCACCTGATGGAGGACCTTGCCAAAAGGGCCTTCAAACGATGTAGGAGCAGAGGCTGGAGTCGAGAGAGAGAGAAAGAAAAGGCGTTGTGAGACTGAGTCAAGCCACGCATTGACAAACTTGAAACAACTTTCCTCTTCACCTCAAGAGTCCTGCAAGTATCTCAGAGCAGAATTCCCCAAAAAGGGCTGAACACGTGGGTCACCCAGTGACTGTGCTGTGACCTCCTCGCAGGAGGCACCCCCACACCACAGCAGAACGTGCTGCGGGCAGGACGGACGGCCAGGAGCCCCCCTGAGAGCCCGCAGAGATGCTCGGAGCCATCAGTGACAGCTCAGGCCTGGTTTGGCACCAGGCAGGAGGCGTTTGCTTGCCCAAGCTCCTCCGCTGTGTGCGGCCAGCCTTACACTCCCCCGGCATCTCTGGGCCTCGCCGCCAGCCCCCCTCTGCCAGGCAGCCCAGGGCTCAGCACAGCTCCCGAGGCGGGCAGAGCCTTCAGCTGCTCGTCTGCATCGTACCTGGCAGCAGGAACTGGAAGGGAAAGTTGTGCTCCCCAGCTGAAAGGACTCCTGTGGGAAACAAGAGGAAGAGGTAAGGGACAGGTGACTTGGAACAGCATTTCTGGAGCACGAGCTTCTGGTGACAGAGGCCACTGCCAGGGGAATGCCACACAACTCCTTCAGCTGCCTTCACCCCACCGACACCACCACGCTCATCCTCCAGGCTCACCCGCTGCCACCCACCTCCCCTGGGGTCAGGAGACGTCCCCATTCCCAACGAGTTGTAGGGTAAGACACTCTGGAAATAAAGTCAGCTGGGGCACAGCCGAAGGGATGCTGGTGCCAGAGAACGCTTCCCGAGGCCGTGAATTCCCCCCCCCGGCACCGAGCGCTTCGGGGAGGGCTGCGGGCTCCCGGCCCCTGGCTGCAGCCCAGTGCTGGAAGCTCAAACCTCAGCGCTGGTTTTCTTCAGCGATCTCACTCCCCAACAGCAGCCTCGAGGGCACAGAGCGGAGCCAAGACACAGCTAAAACCACAGCTACAACGCCAGGATCCCCCAACCCACCCTCCCCAGCCAGATCCCACACCCCTCCCGGGACAGCCGTGACCCCAAATCGAGCCCATGGCACAACCTGGCAGCGTCGGGCAGCTCCCCAGGCCGCCTGCCATCAGACAGGCACCGGGACACAGCGGGTTTTCCACGTTTGTTGGCTGTGTGCACACACCAGAGGGTTTGCTTCCAGCTTGGCCCAGCACCAACACGGCCAGGCTGGGGCTGCTGCCGAGGGAGCCGAGGAGAGGCGAGAGGTGGCCGTGCGGGATGGAAGGGGGGGGTTTGCTCATTCCCCTCGCCCCACCACAACACCCTCCCGGTGATTCCTCTCCCCGTTCCCCAGACAGAAGCTGAGTGGAGGCTGAATGCAGCGTGCCGGCTTGTCACAAGGTGGAGGCAGAAAGCAACTCAACGCCTGCGCTGCCAGGCTCCAAACACCCCGGGCTCCTGCTCCCTGCTGGGGAGACTCTGCCTGGGTGAGAGGCAGCAGTGTGGGAGCCTGGTGCCTTTGCTGGTTACAGGGTAAAGCCTTGCTAACTAACCCGGTGCTCGGTCACTGGCCCAAGATTTTGTGGGGCTCCATGCAAAGCTGTGGCCTCACAGCCAGGTCCTCGCTCTCTGCATGCCCCAGGACATGATTTCAGCCTGGCTCCTGCCCAGCCCACAGCCACCAAACCTGCCAGCGCTTCGTGCCCTCAGTTTCCAGCTTTAAATGTCCTTAAAATTGCGTGGGGCAAGAGATGAAGCCCGCCCCGTGCAGCACCAGGCAGGGGCACGCTGCCAGGCTCAAGCCACTCGCAGGGGATGCTGGCTGGGCTCTGGGAGCCACCAGCACTTGGTGGCACCAGTGCCATTGCCCAGACCCCAAACACATCACCCGAGCCCCGAGCAGAGCTCATCACAGAGCACCCAGACCAAACCCGAGCACCAGCATTAACTGAGAGCTGCAGCGAGCCAGGGACACGCCACGAGCCCTGCTCTCAGCTCCGTTAAGCAGGGAGATGCTGCAGGCAATTAGCAGCAGCCCTGGTTTTCAGGCCTGAGCCTTTCCTCACACACCCTCCTTCCCCTGCCACCCCAACAGCCTGGAGCAGCCCCATGCCAGCCCTGAGAGCTGCAGTGCCCATCTAACAAAGGGCTGGGTGCTCGCAGTGCCCCAGCTCCCCCCAAACACCCGCCTTTCTTGCCCATAGTGAGAGCGTGGGGGTCACTGGAGCAGGCGGGCTGTGAGCACCCAGCCTGGGCACCTGCAGCCGCATCCAGGAGCCTGCACAGCGGGACGAGCACAACACCTCAGGGCTAGAGCCATTCCTGGGACAAGGGAGAACAAAAATAGAAGAAAAACAGAAGATCCTGACCAAAGGGGAGGCTCCCACGAAAGCACGGGTGTGTTCGGGCACCTGGCAGAGCAGCAGGGCTGCCGGGATGCCTGGCTCCTGCAGGACAGGGGCAGGAATTTGGCAGCAGCCCCACGCTGAGCTGCTCCCGGGGCTCCTGCTCGCCTCTGCTGGAAGGGATCCCCCCGGCACGGGCACAGAGGTAGCTCCGTGCCTGCCTCGCCCAGGATCACAGAGCCATTTCGGGATTTGGCCACGTGTCGGGAGGCTTTGGCAGAGAGGAAGCCAGCGACCCCAGTGCACAGACCCCCTGTACTGGGGCAGGGAGGGGACAGCTACCGCTGGGCTCCCCAGCTGGCAGCTCTGCCCCACAGGCTGTGCTCCCATCCCAAACGCTGGCACTGCTGGTTACAAAGGGGACAATCTGCAGCTGCCCCTGTCCCGGTCACCCTGTGAGCACAGGCTGGGCACGGGCTGACCTTGCCCCAGTCACCCCAGTTCTCTCACCTGGAAATTGGCACCAGAAGCCCACGAGGGACCCCGCGAGGGACACGCAGCGCTTGCCCTCGCTCTGGCACAGGTTGGAGGCAGCACGGCCAGGCTGTCCTCATGCACCACGGCCCCACAGTGGCAGTGGGACACCCAGGCTGGCTTTGCAACAGAGACCGCCGCTGGCAGCTGAGAGAAGTCCAAAGGTTTCCTCTGGTGGCTGCCCTGGCACGCAGACACAGCCTCAGCCCTTTGGGAAGGCAGAGAGCTGCCTCGGGAGCAGGGGCTTCCCTAAGGACACGCTCCAGTGAGGGACTGGGGTGGCCCTGGCAGCGCACAGCACGCCCCAGAGCTCCTGAGCAGCTTTAAAATGCACAAAGCCAGGGGAAAGGGCCGTGCAGGCCACCCCAGCCTGGCTCAGCCATTACCTCACCCTTCCCTGAAGCTCAAACAAAGGCCGCTGTGTATTCAGGCACACAAGCTTTTCCTGAAGTTTACGTACAGCTAAAAATACCTTGAGAAAGTCATTAGGCAGCGGAGGCAGCGGGATTAGCAGGGCTCTGCCACGGGGCCGTACCTTTCCTCCCAATAGGAGCTGAGCCAGGGGGCTCGGCTGCTCCCGTGCTGGAAACATCCTCCCTCAAAATTCCTGGAGAGAAAGGAGCTGCTGCCCCTGACAGCCTGCCACAGCTGGGAAAACAACAAACCCGGAGCAGCGGGGACACGCTAACGGCACGGAGAGCACAGGATGACCTTGGAGATTTCCCTTCTTGCTTCTGCTGCCAGCGGGGATTTGTCAGGCCTCAGAGGGACAAATTTTCACCTTTCACCGCCCCGCTGGTCCCTTGCCACATTTGGACAGGGGCCGTTTGCTTGTCGGGAGGAGAGCAGGGAGGGCTTTGGTCCACTGGTGTGCAGAAAGGGAAACTCATCGAATCCAGCAGTGAGCCCTCCCCTGGGTGCCCAGGAGGTGCCTGGGGTGCAGCTGGGCTCTCCCTGTGCCGTGGAGGGACTGGAGGTTCACAGGCTCTCCCCAGGGACACGTGCAGCACTCCTGTGCAAAGCTCGAGCTGAGCATGGTCCCGAGCCAGCCCCGGAGCTGGGTGCACCCACAGACAGAGCTGGACTGACGCACCAAGGTCTGCCCGTGCTCCCTGCAAGCCAGCACGCTGCCTGCATCCTGCTCAAGGCACGGGCACTGAGAAAACAGGACCCTATTGTAACCGTGGGAGGGGAGAAACCGCAGCCTGCTGGTATTTGCACTGCTGAACAAGTGATCAGGGCTGGGCCCCCCCTGCTACAGCTCAGGTGCACCCGGTGCTGACAGCAATGAGGGTGAGTGCAGCCCGTGCCCCGTGCCGTGCAGGAAGAAGTGGCAGCAGCCAGGGCTGGGGTGCAGGAACAAGGAAACCAGCGCTCCACGGGTTTTTCTGCAGCTTTCCCGCTGGCAGCTCACACGGGCAAGCTGCTCTTACCCTACAGGTGGAGCCAGACCTGCCTGGGCCACGAGTTCAAACCAGCGCAGAGACATCAGCCAAATGCCTCCTGCCAGCTTTGTCCCACAGCCCCAGCAATTCCACCCCAATTCCCCGCAGGAGCCAGGAGCTCTGTGCCCTCACAGCACCTCCTGCGCCTCCGCAGCAGCCTGCCTGCTTCCCAGCAGGGTGACCGCCACCGGGACAAAGCCAGCGGGGCACGGAGCTGGAGAGAAGCCAGCAGAGGGCAGGGAGATGCCTTGGCCACCGACACACACCCACACAGCCTCAGTCGAGCCTTGTTACTCACCCCCATGAAATCCCACGCTCCGATGCACTGGGAGAGACAGCCCAGACGTCTGAGCACGCAGGAGCCTGCGGGGCCAGACAGCTGGAGCAGCAGCACAGGGTACAACACACCTCAACCCGCCTCGCCAGGCTTCGTCTGCAGCTCAACAAGGGCTAAAAGCATGAATGCTTGGCACATTGCTCCCTCTGCTCCCCGTGAAGGAGGGTGCGACCTGCTCCACAGCCGTGACCAGGAGGCAGGGGTCCTCCACCCCGGGGGCAGGAGCCAGCTCTTGCCCCAGTCCCCCAGCTCCCGGCTGGCACCAGGGGCCAGCAGCCGCTGCTGCTCCAGAGCCCCAACGAGCCGAGCTTTTGGCCTGCCCATATCTCTTGGTTCTGGTAACAGAGGAACAGCAGGCCCTGGCCATATGGCAATTCCTCTCTGGCTACTCACTGAGTGATGCATTAACGCTGCTGGCCAAGGCACGCAGCACAGGGCTGGTGACTGGTGCCCCCGTTCCCCTGCCCGTGGCGATGTGAGCCCCTGCTGCCAGCCCCCCGACACCCCAAAACAAGGAGAGCTCAGCTGGTGGCAGCGCTGCCACACAGCTCTGGATCTCTCCTGAAGCTGTCGGGGTTGGTGTCCAGGTGGGGGCCGGGAGAGGCGCAGGTCGGTGCCTGATATTTTGGAGCACAGCAGAAGGCAGCCCCGTGCCACGCAACAGCAGGCGGGGCCCTGCAGCCCGCCAGCACCCCACACACCCCTGCCCCTCCTCGCCTCTCCTCGCAGCCTCACACTGCAAATGAGGCGTGCACGAGACCAGGGCTCCTCTTGCTCTCAGAGGCGTCAGCCGGGAAGCATGAATCCCGCCTGTGCCAGGGCGCTCCGGGCGATGCGGGGCCAGCGCAGCATTAGCACTGAGGACTCCAACTCGGTCTCTGGCGGATTAAGCTAATACACGGGATTACAAACCTCAACAAAGGAGGGGAAACGCACACATCTGCTGGCAGCAGCCCTGCAGCAGTCCCTGGGAGGGAACAGCCCTGACTGCCAGCACAGCCAGAGCTGCTGGGGAAGGGCTCGGCGTTGGGCTCAGCCCCTCGGTGGGCAGAGCGAGCGTGTGCGCAGCTCCAGGCTCCCCTTCCAAGCTGCACCGTGCTCATGCCAGGTCTGTGTGCAAGCAAACACGCAGCAGGAACAACCTCCGGTGCTCCCACGTGGCTGGTGCGGCCGAGAGCGACCTTTCTGTAAGGCAGGAGGGGCACAGACAGGAAGAAAACACACCGGAGCGCCCAGCAGTGAGGCTGCAGCGAAGGCTCTGCTGCTTACAGAGCTCTGGATCAGCAGTTTTTCGGTGACATTTGCAAAGAATTGGTAGGATCTGGCAGCACGGCGATGCTGCAGAAATTTCTGAGGATTAACAGTGATCTATTGAGGCAAGAAACTGGGAAGTGCTGAGAAAGCTGCTGCGACCCACGGCGACTGCAGCTCCTTCCACGTGGTTTTCCTGGGCTGAAGGTGCTGTTACTGCCCCACAGCCCCCAGCACAGCATGGGCATGAGCTGAGAGCTGGCAGCAGCGAGTCCTTACGGCTCCTCACAGCCCGTCCTGCTTGCACTGTGACTCCTGAGAACAGACCAAGCACCCTACATTGCACCCTTCAGTGCCTGCTCACCGCAGTCATGACGATTTTTAATGCAGCTGGCACAGGATCGTCACCCTGTGCCTGCGGAGGTGGCGTGCCAGGCCAGCAGAGAACCACCCAGGGAAGAAGCGATGCGCAGCTGCCCCCTTTTAGCACTTTGTGCAAGAAATATGCCAGCAGAGGAAGCAGGTGGAGCAGCCAGGAATTCCCCGCAGTGCCTGCTAGCTAGCTAACAAGCTGCCAAAAGTAAGGTCAGCTGGAAATTACAGCCAGCTCTCTGCATGCATTCAGCTCAGGTACAAGGAGGATTACAAGAAGAAGGAAAACACGACCTTTGCACACACAGGGTGGCCGAGGAGCACAGCCCCGTGCGGGTCCAGGCACGGGACCTGCTCCCTCTGGGCTGAACGAGGCCAGAGCTGCCGCAGGGGAGGGGAGAGCAGCGCGAGTGCTCCGCAGAGCTGAATTACTCCATTATATAGGGTCAGGAGAAACACCCCTCTGTGTGCGAGCAGCGGGGACAAGCGCTGCTATTTTGTACTCGCTGCCACTGGTGCGCCCGATCTGCGCTGCTGACACCCAGAGCAACCCAGCACCGAGCGCCTGCCATCACCGCATCTTTGATTTTCCTCCTCTTGAGATGGTGACCTGGGACACACCAGTGAGCGAGGGTCTGCATCAAACACCCAGACCAAGTGGGAAAGGCAAATCCTCCTCGTCGGGAGGCAAATACCGAGTGCCCCTGGGGGCAAGTGACCTCCCAGTGCTGCTCCATGCCCTGCAGCACACCGAGCAGGAGGCCCCTGCCTATGGCTTCTGCGTAAGAAGCCCGAGGTCACTGAACTGCTGGCCTGCACGGCACTGCCAAGGCTACAGCACGGACCCTGTGCAATCCCCAGCCCTGACTGCTGCTGCTGCCAGCCCGGCTAGGGGCTGCCCGCAAACATGGGGCTGAGACACTCGAGTGGGGACGAGCAGGGTCCTGTGCAGCACAGCCACGAGCTGCTGCGCTCCCTGGAGGGAGCCTGAGCACCCCGACACTGCTCCGAGGGGAGGAAGCAAGAAGAGAAGTTAAGGATGGTGCCAGCGCCTTAAAGAAGTGCCTTACGCTGCCAAGTAGGCTCGTGGGGTATGTCAGGGCCGGCCTCCTTTCTCACACAATACACAACCTTAAAAAATAGATATTAAAAAGTGTGTAGCACAAGTGATAAGTGATGCCACGTAGGACTAGCCGCCCCCTCCCCTAGTTGAGCGCAGAGGTGTGTGGGTGGAGAGCTGCAGAGTCACTCTCAGATATTTAAAGAGCGATCCACGTCCCAACAGTTATGCAAACCTCGTCTCCCCTTTCCCCTACGTGTGTGTCCTCAAAGAGCACAGGTCGCTCTTTATTTTTCATCATTATTATTTATTTTGCTGCTCGGGATGTGGGAAGAGAGCACGCAAGTGTCTCATTTGTCAGGCTGAGCCTCCCTCCCTGCTCTGTCTCCCCCAGACACCAGCACTGCTCTGCTCGCCCAAGGCCAGTGGAGCTGGAGACACACTGCAGCGCCCTGGGGACACCTGGGTCCTCCCTCACCAGCACCGGCATGGTCTGGCTGCACGGTCTGGCAGCCAGAGAGCTGGGGATGGTGCCAGCGGGGAGCCAGGCGTCCCCCTGCACCCAGCCCTGCCATGACCATCCCCTGTTTTGTATGCCCAGGTTCAGAAATGAGAGGGGAATGGAAGGTCAGGCAGCTGCCCACGGGGACAGGCAGGGATGCAGCTCGGTGGCTCAGCCACGCTGTGCACACATCCTGCTCGCAGTGCAGAGGCTGTTCTCCTGCTTCCCTTGCTCCATGGGCTGGGTCAGCGCCAGCCCAGGGGGTTTTTGTTTCAGTATCCACACCGGCCAGTGCCGCAATTGCAAGGGATGGTTTCAAAGCATCCTCGTGGGGGCCCGGCCGTTCTGCCTGGGCAAGGGCACAGGACAGACACAGCAAGCCCAGGACGTGCAAGGCACGAGTTCATCCCAGACACACGAAGAGCAAACACCCTGCAAGCACTGCCCTCGGCGGTGGCCCTGCGCTCAGGAGCAACCTGCCCTCTGCGTCCCTGCTTCCTCAGCACTGGTGAGCCCTCCGGGGGGGCTGCTGGCTGCGCTCCACCACCCAGCACTCGTACAAAGCAGGGAACTTGGACAGATCGGGGGGCACCAGGCCTCCACCACGAGCCTGTGCCATGCCGCTCTGAGCTGGGGCCAGACAGCACTGCAACGCACCTCTGCTCCAAGCTCGGTGGTCCTACAGGGCAGATTTCTCCCTCACTGCGTTCATGACTTCTCAGGTAAGTCGCACTCCGCTGATGCTCGCTCCCACCTGCCTGGAGCTGCATCAGTGCTGGAAGATGCCGGCTGGCCTCATGCCACCAGCTCCACGAGCAGCACCCGGCCCCAACACCTGCACAGGGCTTGGGCTCTGGCTGTTTGTGATACCAGGGACGGACAAACAGCCACACCAATCTGAGCAGCACACAATGGTTTGGGTCCCAGAAAGTCAAGAGCAAAACACTGGGGCTTTCCATGATGACTTTGAGTTGGCAATACCAAACTTTGGAGGCTTTTTGGAATGCAGGTATTCAAAGGTGTCAAATTAGAGTGAGAATGTGTGGCTATCAACACATTTTCCTTCCATCCGTCCCAGTCCACGCTTGTCCCAGATGTCATAGCTTCCAAGGGCAATCCTGCAATAACCAACTGCTGAATTGGCTGTCAAAATTCCTCAGGGGCTGCAAAGCTGGGGAACAGCAGCCCCACCTCCCCCCCACCTCACCACTGGCTTTTGCCACAGCTCAGCTCTACCAGAAGAGAACCATCCACAGCATCACAGCTCCCTCATGAATCATTAAATACTAGACACAAATTTGGAAGTTCGCTTTCAGTACAGTTGCAGGTTTAAACCTCTCCAGGAGCCCGCAGTTGTTCAGTCTCCAGCTCACCTACGCTCAATTCCCTCGAGCCCCTCGTCAAGCCTCCAGGATTTTGCTACCCTGACATTCACAGCTGGGCTCTCTGGCTGCGAGCAGCACCGCTTCCAAAAGCAGGCAGGAACATTTCTCATCGCCCTCCCCGGCAGTTTACCTCCCCCTGCAGCCCCTGGGCTAGGAGCCAAGCCAACGGGCGAAGCCAGCCAGCTGCCTCCCTTCCCTGGGACCTGAGCAGGCAGCGCCGTCTCCAAGCGCTGCGAGGATGAGGTCAGTCTCCCCTCGATGCTAAAAGCTCTGCTTGAAGAACTGCTGAGATAGCAGGAGCTGCCGTGTTAGTTTTACCCATTTCCTGTTATTAGATAAAACAGCATCAGAGGGCTGAACTCCTGCTGCCTTGGCCTGTTGCCACGCTGCAATTACCGCCACAGCCGCTGCCTTCAGCAGGTGAACACGGGTGCCTCTTGATTTCCATAGGAGCCAGAGCCCGGCATAAATTAATTGTGGTAAGGTTGACCTATTTAACAGCAGAAAGCCAGCATTCACTCGAGCCCAGATTCCCCAGAGGCTCCGGGTGTCACTTTACCCCGCGGGACAGCGCAGCCCCGCCGCTATCTCCAGGCATCTCTGCCTGCGGTGCGCTGCGAGGCGCGGGGGCTGCTCACGGCGTGCCCTCAGCCTTCCTCGGGGAGGACAGGCGACATCTCCACCTCCCTGTCGCTGTAATCAAACCACTCCCGCCCTGCAACCAGCTCCTGTTGCCCAGCGTTGATGAGCGTTTTGTGACTTCCAGAGACAACACACACAGAAAGCAGAGCGGGGTGAACCCACAGGGACTTCACAGCTGCTGTGCTCGTAGACATCCAGCAGCAGCGAAGTGGCTGTTGACAGCCCCGTTCCAGACAGACCAGCACCAGAGGACACAAGCAATGTTTACAGGGGGCTGCCAAGTTCTGCAGCTATTCAGGATGCCTCCCTGCACAGCTCTTGCAGTCTAATATTGGCTCACAGCCTGTGTGCACAGGCCAAAGCAGCCTGTGAGGGGGCACTTCACATCAACGAGATGCTGAGGTCTTGGTGATGCAGTGCTGCAGCCCAGAACCACCCCTCTCCCCGCAAGAAACAGCACAGCCACACATCTCCACCATGTGCTTGTGGACCTTACCTTTGTCTGCCAGAGACAGCGTGGTGTTGAAGTACTGCTCCTCCACGGTCCAGGCGGTGTCGTTGATCTTGTTGGACACCCCGCAGAATCCAACGCAGCTCACCTTGATGGCTGTTAACAGAAACCACACACGTAAGCATGAGGAAAAAGCAAAACCACAGCTTCAGACTTGTTTCAGAGACTCTATGGGGCCACAGGAGCAGAACCTCACAAAAACACACAGGGTGCCAAAGGGAGCAGGGGAATGGAGTCACACCTTCAGCTCGGCAGCACATTTTCCCCTTGATCCCAGCATTACTGCACTTGCTCTGCTCCCCCTGCGCCATTCCCAGCTGTCAGCACCACTACAGTCCTTGTGCTGGCCTCTGTGCACTGCAGAAGGCCTTAACAGCAGTGACTGCAGCTCCCCGAAAGGCAACCCTCCTCCTGGTTCTCTCCCAAATAAACCAGCATCCCCTCCCAGTACCCACCTCAGCCCCTGCGCTCAGAAACCTTTGTGGCAACGCAGCCCTCCTCCAGCTCACAGCAAAGCCAAACAGCCGGGGCTGGAAGCGTTTGAGATGCCATCCGACCCTCCCAGCCCAAAGAGAATTTGAGCTATGCTTGTGCCTTGCCTTGGGAAGGTCATCCCTGAGCTCTCCCTGCTTGTTGGCACACACCAAGAGACAACCACAGCGCTTCCCCTGCGCAGGGAGGACACAGACAGACCCATCCCTGCACGGGGTAGGTCACTAGGGTGCCCCAGCCCAAATATCTCCTGTCCTGTTCCCAGCAGGTTCTGCAACAGCTTTAAGAGATCCCACAGAGCTCCCTCACCGCGTTCGGTGAACGTTTCAGCGTGCACACCCAGGCAGTGCCTCGCAGGAAGCCTCTGGGCGGCCAGTTTGTGCTGGCTCCAGGGCTCCCCTCCTGCTCCACTCGAGGTCCTCTCCCGGAGCACAGAGCACCCCCACTGCCCTGCACGGAGCCCACTCCTCTCCCGTCGGATGGCAGCAGCTCCAGCAGCCTTGGTGCCAGCTCTCGTCCCACCTCGGGCACGCAGCTGAGCCCCAGGGCCACAAAGGGCCTGCCCCTGTCCCAGTCAGCCCAGACAACCCAGTCTCCAGTGAGACCAAGCCCGGGCTCAGCCACACCACTCCCAGGTTTTCACAAGGGAAAAGAGAACTGGGGAAGCTTTACACCCTCCAGGAGGGACGGCCCCCGAACAGGCTCCCCACAGCCTCCCTCAGCCAGTTTGTAGATAACGACCCTGAAAAGCTCCCGGCTAACCACCATCTGGTGCAACTCCCAGATAAGGGAAGGCAGGCAGCCCTCATCCCAGCCCACCGCACCGTGGTGCTCAGGCTCCCTGTCCCTGCGAGGCAGCACAGACAGCACGGCCCCAGCTCCCTCCCCACAGCAGGCAGGGACTCGGGGACCCAGAGGCAGCAGCCCTGCAGCCCGGCACACGGAGCTGGCCCTCGGCTGCTGCTCCCTGCTGCGATGCTGGGCTCACAGCAACGAACCTCAGGGCTGTGCTGGACCTCGTCTAAAAGCCCTACTTACAGTTTTCCATCTCAGACACGGGGCTGTCAGCTCCAGGGCTTCTCAATTAACCACTGAGAACCCAAATTGGTTGGCACTGCCAGCCTGAAAAGGAGGGAAGGCCTCAGGTCCATGGAGGGAGATCCTGGGGTCCTGGGTCACCCCCAAGGGCAGCCCACTCCAGCCCCAGTCCCAGTGGTCGCTCCTCCTGGGGCAGGCCGTGACCACAGCTGTGACCATGGGTTTTTGCACGTGGCCCTTGTTGAGCAGATTATCAGCAGAAACTGCTGTGGGCCCACAGCATCCTCCCCTACACCATGGAGGAGGTTTCACCCCCTGCTCCTTCACACGTCAGCTGGAGGGGAGCGATCCGACCCCAAACCAGTCCCCGAGCTCTTTTGGGACAGCAGCGGAGGCCTGGCAGGACGCCCCGGTGTTTCTGCCTATGTGATGCATTAGGGTAACCAAAGGGCATCAAACAACACAGCGAGCAGACAAGCTCCAAGGCAGTTTCACAGCAACCTCACCGGGTTTTGGAGCAGCCGGCTACGAAGCCAGCCCCTCTGCGAGCATCTCATGACCCGGGGAGAGGAAGAAGCCGGGGACGCGCCTGGCTGTGGTGTCAGGGCTCCTGTTCACAGCTGCCAGGCAGAGCTGGGGGCAGCTGCGAGCTAAAAACAGAGTCGGGGGGGCCGGTCCAGCAACCCGGCACCGTCAGAGCTGCTGCCACCGGAGCCACCCGAGGTGCAAAGCCCGTCAGCCCGACTGCCAGGAAGCTAAATGCACAGTCAGACTTTCCAAGGCCTCCCCTGCAGGCAGTCTCCGTGCCAAGTTGCGGGTATAGCAAATAAGAAGAGTTTCTGCTCCGGAACAGGCCAATTGCAGTTGTTAGAAACCCATAAAAATGCCTCCGGAATCCTGTGCTACCAGCGGCCCCAGTTACCAGGCCCCTGGGTTGCTTTAAATAAACACAGGGGGGAAAAAAGTCAAATATCTATAAAGGAAGTGGGGGGGGGCGAGACAAAAAGCAGCAAAGAGAAGAGAAGGAAATTACAAAGCCATGTAGGAGGCGAGGGCCCTTTGCCCCTGCGGTCCCCCAGCACCCAGAGGAGCAGCAGCAGCTCTGCACCCAGCCAGACACGTCTTTAGCAAGGCGCCGCAGCACTCGCCAACTGCTGGAAATATAAGGAGACAGCTCAGCCGTATCCATCTCTGCCCTAAGTAAAAATAGAGATGCCAGGAGCTGGGCACGCCTGCCTTCTCCCAAGGTGATTTAAGGAGAGCAGCTGTACACCTCCAACGTCTCCTTCGGTCAACCCAGGGAGCTGGTGCCGCATGGCAGGCGAGGGGAGAGCAGAGGCTATGCATCCATACCTCTGTCCTCGACTTCCAAGCTCCAGTTGTGCTGAGCAAGCAGAGTCACAGCAGCACAGCCCTCCCTGAGCTGCAGCCGGTCCCAAATGGCTTCAGGTCCCTTCTGTGTCACACACCCCCGCAACAGGTACAGGCAACAGAGGGAAGATGAGGATGGTTTGGCAGCAGCTCACGCAGGACAAACGTGCCCTCCTGCTGGCACGGCCCTGCTGGTGGCCTGGGGCTTTCCTCTGCTGCTGCAAGGGTGGACGAGGAGGTGAGCACTGAGCTTGGAAGGGGCAGCTATGGACAGCCCCGGATTTCGGCCAGCTGAAGCCCACACCAGCCAGTTCCTGGCCTCCGGCTGACCCAGAGGCTTCAGCTGGGACAGGGAGCCCGTACCCACAAGCACAGGGCTCAACGTGCTGCAAAGCCACCCCAAAGCACCCACACCAACCACACAGCACGAGGGACTGGGCACACGTCCATAAAGGGCTTCAAGAGCTGCTCCTACACCTTGCTGGGGACAGCCCCGCTCCTAGAGAGGGCAAATACAGCACCAAACCCAAGGGGACAGCACACAACACCCCTAAAAGAGATGGGGGACAGAGGTGCCAGCACCCCGGCACTTCCAGAAGGTGCTGGCAGGAGGGCCGGGGGGTGCCTGGGGCATGAGAACGGGGGAGCAGAGGGAAGAGAGGGCTGCGAGAGACCAGCGAGCCTGCACCAGACGAAGTCTTCATTTAATGGAGACCAGCCAAGAGGAGCCCTCTCCTCACCCCTCTCAGCAGAGCCATGGCAGGCCAGATCACCACTAATCTTTAATTAGATTCTCTCCAGCTGTGCATGAGGACAGAGCCGCCTCCCCCAGCCCCAGCAGCCAGGCACAGCCGTGGTCCAGGCCCGAGGAGAGGCAGGGGACGGATGGCCCCGCTGCCATCCCCACCGGTGCCGGTTTTGGGGACTCGAGAGGCTTTGGGAGAGCGAGGCCAGGCCACAAGGAGAGCCGGTCTCATCACAGGCAACATCAGCAAGCCAGCAATGCAACCCCTAGGGCCACCTGCCCAGACAGGAGGGGACCGAGCCACCTCAGCACACAGTGCCACAGCTTCAAGTGACAAGGAGCATGAGTCTGGGAGTGCCCCAAGATCTCCTGGCCCCTGCCCTAGGCCAGGTGAAGTTTTGGGGTCATCCCGCTCCCAGCACAGCAGGGTGCTGGGCAGGTGGGAAGCCCGGGAGGCAGTGAGACCTGCAGGCAGGACAAGTCGCTCTCATGCAGTTGGTAGAGACCGGGTGATTCCTAGAAAAGCTCCCTGAAAAAACACGCAGCGAGGAAGCCGAGACCACAGGGAGCAGGAAGGCTGGAAGCTCACGGGGCACGCTGCTCCCCCAGCTCCCAGCCCTCGTGCACAAAAATACCGAGACACCGCTAATTAAACCAGCAGCTCCTAATTAACTCTCGGCTGTCCCCATCCTTCTGGGTCCTTCCTGTCAGTCCCTGACACAAACAGTCCCGGGCATTTCGCGAGCCAGCGAGGCGAGGGCAGAGCGCGCACTGAAAGCTGGAGGCAGCGGCGTGTCTGGCACCAAGCGAAGGACTGTCTGGAGAGGTTTCTGTCTCCTTCCCCAGGGCTCAGCACAAGATTCGGCCTCCAGCTGGGGAAGGGGAAGCCCTGTGTTCTCAGGAGTCATCCCAAAGAGCTGCTCAGGCTTTCCTGACCCATGGCGAGCCCACTTGTAGGTCAGCAGCAGCTCACCAAAACCCACCGAGGGCCAGGCTGCCCGCTCCCTGTGGCAGTGCTGCATTTGCCAAGCGGGGCAGGGGGTCCCAGCAGGGCCTCACACATCCTCGACCCCCTGCTACATCCCACCCGCAGGAAGCCTGGAGCAGCTCCTGCACCCAGCCTGTACAAACCCCACCTGCAGCAACAGCAGGGCGGTGACAGCTGCTAATGGCTCACTTCACCCCTGTATTTTGGGTGATGCTGATTTGTTTTATCCAGAATCCACCCCAAGTACTACCAATCCACCGAGGGTGCTGTCATCCAGAAATGCAGAAACCTCTGAACACAAACCATGCAGGCACACGCCTGTGAGCACAGAGCTGTGACAGCCACCTCCCCTCCCAGCCAAGGTCAATCCTCTCCGCTTTGCGAGCACTTTTCTCCATCACAGGCTGAGAGCAGGGAAGCTCGTCTTTTCCAGCCCCTCCCCAAAATCAAGAGCCTAAGACA